CTGTGCTAACCAGACCTCTGTTCATAAGTCTGGTGAACACGGTAGGTCTCAGTATGCTGTAAGAACGCGTGAGTCTTAGGAATAAACTTCCAGAACTAGAGGTGTTGACTGAAAAACTACGACTTGATGTGATTGCTATTGCTGAAACATGGTTGTTAGTGGGTGTAGACGTAACTCCAATGATACCTGTGTACGTCTGCATTAGAGCAGACAGGGTAATTAGTTGGAAAAATGGTAGGGATGCCCTGTGCATCCGGGATGACATAGGGATTAGATCAACGTTGTCGGAATCTCATGACAACTACACTAGTGGAACAGCAAACTGTGTTATGACTTGTGACAATTGAGGTTATTTATAGAAGTATTGCCAGCCAAGGGGACGATTTGGTACTAAATCACCTCAGGACGTGGAGTAGTAGAAATAGGTGTCTAATATTAGGTGACTTTGATGCCCCACACATTAATTGGGAGGAATTAACATAAACTACCTCGTACACTTGTTTCAACAGGGAACTCATACTGACAGTGCTTGAATGCGCACTTGTACAGCATATCGACGCATCAACACGATACCACTCTGAACATGATCCGTCCACTCTAGACTTGGTGCTAACACAGCAGAAGGAGGATGTCGGTGACATTAGGTGCCTGGCGCCGCTAGGCAGTAGTGACCATACAGTTATCACTTTTACGTTTAGGCATCGCACGGTCATACATAGGTCAACATCTGCTAGTCCAAACATTTGGAAAGCGAATATAGCTGCAATCTGAAATGCAGGAACCCTAGCTGACTGGTCTTTTTGTACATACCAGACTGTCGAGGAGGCTTGGATGGAATCTAGGGATACACTAGATTGCATCACTGCACCTTTTGTACCTTGGTCTACGCCTCGAAAGCTGTCGCATAAACCACCTTGGATTTGTAATGAAATAAGGAAGTTACTAAGAAAGCGAAAGAACCTTTGGGACCGGTTTACTGTGACTGGGATAAATGAGTTTCGGGTGGAATACCGCAAAATTGGAAACCTTTGTAAGTATAAGATTGACAAAAGTCTTATAGAGTACGAAAGGCATTTAGTACTGGATTGTGTGCATTATCCAAAAAGACTACTCATATATCAAATGCAGGACTAAAACTAGCAGTGGTATACCCTCCCTCATAAGCAATACCGGAGAGGTGGCAGAGACAGACGAAACAAAAGCTCTCCGAATACTTTTGCGATGTTTTCTCACCTAATCCTACCACTCAGGGGTGTAGCGAGATGTAGCCACTAAAATGCCCACAATTGTGGTAGAGGATACAGTGGTTCTCGAACTACTGTCTAAGCTGAAGCTAGGTAAATCACCTGGATCTTACGAACTTTACCCTAGACTGCTAATCTCATTGGTGGATATAATATGCATTCCACTTATGGAGATTTTTTCAAATGTCTGTGACCCAGGCTGGGCTACCTGCGGACTAGAAAGATGCTTTATAAGCCCCATCTTCAAAAAGGAGAACAGGCAGTTAGTATCCAACTACCGCCCTTTAAGGCTGACCCGCATTATAGTAAAGGTATTGGAAATACTCATAAGGGATCAGCTCTTAGCTGATGTAGAGAAACATGGCTTATAGGTGGTGGAACAGGCAACTGTATTTGGCTCCCTACTATTCCTATTATGCGTAAATGAACTGCCGAAAATTCTTACCTCATTATCTTTATTATTTGCCGACGATACTAAAATATGGAAGACCGTAAATAATAACGATGATAGGTTGGTACTACAAAACGATCTAGATAAATTAGCTAAATGGGCTAACCTGGGGAACACAGAAATGCCATATGTTAAGGGACAAAAAGGATTAAGGGATTATTGTAAGCCGGCAAACTGTAATGCAGCCTCATTTAAGGCTTTTCGAATGTCATGGGCACTTCGAAGAGCTTTCAAACGATTAGACGAGGGTATATTCCAAATGTTCTATGCAACATGTGTCAGACCTCATCTAGAATACTGCATACAAGCGGTGAGTCCATGCTTCAAAGGGGGGGCACATATCCTGGAAAGAGTACACAGGGTAGGAACGAAATTAGTTGGTGGTACCTCACACCTTCCTTACGATAAGAGGATGGAGCATTTAAATCTCTTTTCATTGTCATACTGAAGGAGGAGAGGCGACTTGATTTTGGCTTACCGTATAGTCAAGGGTGATTTTTCTCTCCCTCTAGGATGCATTCACGAAGTCACTACAAAAAGGTGCTCAAACCGATGTCTAAGAAAACACATGTGGAATTTAGAATATCTCACAGAGTGGTCAACGATTAGAGCTCCTTACCTAATTCAGTAGTAACAGCTCCATCGGTGAACGCTTTCAAATAGAAACTAGATCTCTGCAGAGATATATATCGCAAGGATTAACACAGGCCACAGTAACCTTGTATCTTTATAGTCTAAATCTGAATGATTTATTAAGTTAATCTGATTTATCACTTGTTAATACTTCCAAATTCGTCTTCGAAAACCCTATATTTTAGGCCTTTATTATAATACACTCTCAAAATAAGACAGATTCAGAGGAACATCAATGAGATTTGGAGATATTAGGGGGAAACTGACACATTGAATAAACAGGGATTATATGCCTTTTTCTGTTACGTCTCCAATTTTCTCCAATTATTTAGTATTTGCTTTTAAAAGCTTCTCATCCTTCCTCTTAATATCTATGTGGGTATACTCGACACATTTGTTTTATGTTTTCCTTTAGAGACTAGTTTTGGCGTCACTTTATGCAAATAAACATATTAGATGTAAAATCAAACAACTATCCCTAAATGGAAGTCCAATATTCTGTTAATATCTTTTCTCTATGAAAGTAGTGTCTTTCGCTATGAGTAGTCCAAAGAAAAGAAAGTTAGTATGCCTTATATTACCTTTAATGGTTATCCATTCTAAGCTCCTAAAGGGGATAGGGTGTTATATATTTTTTGGGTTCGATAGTTGATGCGACTCTAGTAATACGAGATGAGGAAATGGGTCCAAATGCTTCCTCTTGTACTCATACGATATTGAAAGGTGTTTTGCGTTATGGAATTATCGAATTCACATTTCGAATTTTTATTTTTTATTTTATTTTTGGTAACAGCTTGATTCCACACTGTATTTTTGGTACAAGTATGGAATTTTCAGCATGGATATCGGTAGCCCAAATTTCGCAGGCCGACCATAGATATCTGGTGTGCGTCGGCAGGGGATCGAACCTCGTACCATGTGCATGGTCGTCGAGATTCCTAACCACTATGCCACCGACACATCAATCCCTGTGTTTAGGTAGATAATACAGCCCTTAGCTTGTCAAGAAGCTTTGTGAATTCATAAGGTCCTAAAATAATGTATGGCAATACACTGGCAGTACGGATAATTACAACTAAGAAAAATTGTGTCAGTCACATGTGTCTGTCAATGTGGACTCCAACCCATTCTCTTCTCTGATTTGCTAACCTAAAATATGCTTAGATTTTATTGTTTATATTTATATTACATGTCATTTAGAACGTTCTAAGAAGTAGATTTCCTCTTCTATTAAACCATTCAAAGTGCCAAATGTTTTCATTTGTTGTATTGATCTTCCCGTCTCATATTTCGTTATCTGATAGACAGATCCGTCCGAGTATTACATGTTTATCAGGTCCATGGACAAATACTGCTACGAATAGTCTTGTTACGTATTCATTCGCCAGGATTCATTTCACGTATTTTTCAACTGTTAGGCTAGCAACAAAGCTCTTTAAAGTTATATAACTCTGAGTCATTCTTATTACTTACATTATTCTTCAGGTAAACACAAAGTATATATGGTTGGAACTTATTATTTCTGCACGCATAGAACTTAGCAGTATTATTTTAATTTCAGCATTTATCTAAAGTGAATTTCCAAATATTTTGTCATTTTTATTCTCCTAGATAAACAAATCCTGTAAGTACTCTAAATTCACCCAGGTTTAGGCTGTGAAATAAGATAAATGGTTAGTCACCGTCTAACAAATCTCTCAGTTGTACATTATGCGTAATTTTGTGTGCTAATAGTTGCCTAATTTGATAAAAACAACAATCATACTTCTGTATTTTTGCTGGAATTTTACCATACTATCGTTTTCATAAACTGTCTGTCTGATTTCAACATTGAACTTTGTACCGATGTGCAGCAGTTCATGTAGCACACAATGCAAGAGAAAAATTGCTAAATAGAGACAGTAGACAGAGATATGAGGCAAAAAGAATAGTAATATCGAAGAACAATATAGTTTTATTGAGTACTATAAGTCACAAGGAATGGATGCATCTGCGCCAGTCATTGAGAATGATTTTGAGCTATATCACCAATTGTCTCCACCCCTCGTTGACCGTTGTCGAGGAAGGCGATGACTAGTCATACGTAAAACAGGTCTTAACCATCTCAATTCATGTAACTTCACAGCCTGTTCTCTTGATTCCCCCTCCTTATTTATCAATCGACTAAAGCCTGACCTCAATATTACTCAACTAATAATACCACTTCACAAGGGAGATAGAACGCAGACACCTATGATCAAAGACAGCTAGCCAGCCAGCCTTTTCATGTCTTCTCAGGTCTCACAGCCATAAAGGAGGACGGATGAGGAGTACACACATCCTTTGGTCGGTAGTCGGATATTACGTCTAAGTCCGTGCTATGATTTCGTCAGCCATCAAAATATGAAAGGCGTCATAACACTGTTTTGTTCAACCTCATGATTTTTAACATGATACAAAAAGTTGAAACAAAAACGAAAGTAATGATACTATCAATGCTAAAGAAATATAACAAAGTTGTAAGGTAGAGTTCAGTTAGGAAACAAAATATCACGTGATAAAGGGTTTTCATTATCTCCGAGAAAATTTTGAGTCGATTCATTCGATCCACAAAATCGTGTAATCAAATGCTATTCTGAAAGGATATCCATGTAACTGAAACAGTTGATATTTTTCACTTCTTGTTCTTCTAGATGTTAGTGTAAGTTGTAAAGCACTACTTTGCTCTCCTTTTCGTCTATATTCAGGATCCTTTATAGAGGTTAGAAATTTTTAAGAAAGTCAGTCAATCTATATGCTATATAGTGTTTTTTGCTGCATTATTTGCCTTTGTAATCAGGTAATGTGGAGGATAGTTTTTGTTGTTGTTTGGTTTTGTTTCAGATTTTGATAATAACATTAAGCTATACATTCTTTTTTGTTTACTATTGTAGGTCACCTGCATTTTTAACTGCAGTATTTTCTTCTGTGCTTTTGACAAACGTTCACGGAACACATGGATGGGACTATTTTGTGTTCAGCTTAGAATGGCCACCTACCTATTGTTCTTCGCATACTGTAAGTTAATGTTGGCGATTTTAGAAGTTTTTATTTAATAACAGAAGACAAAGGTCAGGCAATAGACCGTTTATATAGGAAATTACCACACATATTTGTAGATTTTCATGTATATTATTATAGGTTATTGTTAGCAGAAAAACAGTCTTCTGATTGGTTGTCTCTCACTGAAAGTTAATCTTTCATCTTTTTGTGACTGTTTCTTGAATGTCAGATCATCTATTTGCTAATTGTATCCGCCCTACTCAAAGTCTGCTGTGGTCGGTTGTTGAATCAGTCATTGTTCATATCTTTCTAACGACCAATATTGAGGACGTGAACATTGACGTAAATTACTGTCTACCAATTTGGCTAGCAGCCAGCTGTCACCACATTTATATGATCATGAAATGTGATAGTGCTTTTGTCATTAATGTTCAGAAGTATTTCACTTTAAAAAAGCAAACAACTGCCATCGTCCTTAGTTTCACTGTGGCATTGTGTCTAGTCACTGTAGTTTACTCGGTGAAACTGTAAAACACTAGTCTAACCAGCAAGCGTTTAGGCGGTAGGCTTACCATGGCTATCTTTCAAGGTAGTATCATTACTCTTCAACAATGATCCAGCGCTTTGTGTATTTCAAAACCTGCATATCTTCTTGATTGTTCTTTGTATTTAACTTAAAGCTTATTCTGGCAACTATTGAAAATACCGGTAAAATGCTTTGAAATATAGATTTTAGTTGAAGAGCACTACATTTTATGCTGATTCCTAAATCCTTGCCTATCCCCAAATCCTAACCTGGCAGTAATCTAACCTCTGTCCTTACCTTGGCTGCAATTGTAAGCCTAAAAGTAATTTAAAACAAGCAACAAAGGTTAATAAAGCAGGATGATTTAATGAATTCATCAAATTTCGGTAAAACTCCTCCTCGACACCTAACCTCAATATTGCTCACCTTATTATACCACTTCACACGGGAGACAGAACGCAGGCACCCATGATCGAAGACAGCTAATCTTTTCATGTCTTCCACTCTCAAAGACCAGGTCTCACAGCTCTCCATAAAGGAGGACGGAGCGGACTGATGAGCAGTACACCCGCCCTCCGTACTTATTTAATTTATCTGAGTCAGTATGAATCATCTTATTCAGTACTTGATGTTTCTCAGAGGTTGCGCCTAAAATAGTGACTGCTGTATTGCTTCGCAGGCTGTGCAAAACACGTGGGGGATTGATTCGCGAAGAGCAGGCTTGCTTTCGTCCGGGTTGTGGATGCATTGATCATGTTTTCACCCTTAGTTTGTTGCTACCACCACCACACGTATTGCAGGCAAGCAATCTTTGTGTTTCTTGATATAATAGGGCTGCCTTCGATTCGTTGGACAGAACTGTCTGTTAAAGACCGGTGTACCTGAGAAGTATGTTAACATTCTGAAAGCTCTATACAGAAATACTTCAGGTTGGGGTGAGGGCATACAACCGGCTATCTCATCGCTGTTCCCAACCAACAGTGCGGTTGCCTGATCTCTTCATCTCTGTCGATGACTTTCTGGAGTCAACTTTTGAAGGACGTGCGTAGTGGTGGCGGTGTAGTTCTGCCTTCTGGAGAAAGACTTTTCGACCTCTTGGTTTTTGAACTACTCATATCAGTTAGTAGTATGTAACAAACAGATTGAGTTGCAGCAGATATCAAGTAACATGAGTCTGTTAATAATGTATTTTGAATGCTCAAGTTTCTTTTCCCTTTTTGTTTTAGTGTAACCTACCTCGTCATATGAGACAACAATTCAACATTCATGGATTATGGTATGTTACAATTTTTTTTCCATCAGAATCATTTTCTCCTTAATCAAAATTAATCAAAAAATTCTGTTCAATAATAGAATTCACTGTATGAAATTTTCGGAGGAAAGTAACAAGAAGCGTTTTACACCATAGACCTAATATTTTGTGGCAATCGTAGGCAGGTGTTGTGTCTACGAATACATTACCAAGCTACTTAGAAACCAACTAACTGTCTTTGAGATTGAGTGCTATGCATACATTGGTTTCCAGAATGTAGCTAAAGAAACTGATAAATCCTTAATGCTTGTTTAAAGTCTAACTTTTGGCTTTGTCATATGACCGTTAAGCTAATGGTTATGAGAGACGCCTAACTGAGCACCGCAAATTTCTTCCATAGCCTTTGATTAGTTTTAAGAACTTGTTAGGGAGACGTGGCTTATTGGCTTAAGTACTACCCGACTTTCTTGAGGTCGAATCCTACCCCACATCCACTCTAACCTGGGCAACTACGAACTGCCATCGGCTTTCACACGTTATGTATGGCTCATAGCTCGGAATATGCATTTATCATGCGAATTGAGTACAGACAGATGAAGTCTTGTATCAATTTCAGCAAAATTGGAAAGGCCTTCGACAGCGTTAACCGATAAGTAATTTGGAAACTACTTCAATACTATGGCGTCTTTATAAACCTTATTCAACAGCTGTCTGCATCACGAAGTGACGCGTTGTCAGCCAAGTGATCCACTACGGAATACTCAGTGAAGCCTGACTTTAAAGTGAAGACAGCAGTGAGACAACACTCCCTATTATCATGGTTGATATTCCCAGTTGCGGTGCACTGGATTAGACGAAAGACTGGAGAGCGGTGGGGGGACGAGAAGACAGAAATACGCTGGACCGCCGATAAGAAGACTCTAGAAGATATGGATTTGTTGCCTGTATGATTTGTGTCAAACATCACACAGACTCGAAGAATTACAGGGGAAAATGAAGAAGCTGTCACGGGAAGTGGTGAAGACACGAATCACATGAACACAGAGAAGTGGGAGGCGATGAAAATAACCAGCCGACAACCGCGATGATGACTATGAAGGGGTGAAATTTGAAAGAGGTTACTTCCTTCACCTGTCCAGGAAGCATCGTTTCATTCATAGGTTGGACGGAAGAAGATGTCAGAGGTATGCAGAATGGGAATGACAAAGTGCACCTTCATCACCGTGAAATCAGTTTGGAGAACTTCTGTACTCAGGGAACATATTGAATAAGATTCGGATTTTCGATAGAAATGTTAAGTCAATGAGGTCTTCCATAGGAGTGAAAGACTTGAGGTGTGCGTGAAGGAAAGGATTTCCAACAGGCTCCGACAGACTTGTGTGAACAGGTGTCGCCTTCTCTGACTTCATGTTGTAGGTCGAATGGGCAGGTCAGAAAGAATTGGTCACAAGAAACTATGGTGGAGAACCAATGAAGAACTTGTTGGTCAATAAAAATTTAGAAGAGAATGGAGATGGATTGATCAGACGCTGGGGAGACCATCGAATGACATCGCACCGCACGCCAGGTATAGCCTAGATTGGGACCTGAATGTGAAACTGTTAGTGGGTTGTGTGTTCAAGGTTTGACATGGTGTTCGTGTGAGGTGGAGATGAGAGCTCATGGGCGGCGAGTTAGGTAGATGATCCTAAAATTATTATCAGTGACAGAAGTGTCGACCAAGTATTCTGGAATAGAAATTTGTAAACTTCGCAATGCCATGCTAGAATTTTTTCTCGTATCCGTGTGGAAAGCATCTTCTGGCTACAGCTACAATGTACCCTTCTCCATAAGAGCAGGTGAACTATATGAGAGATGCGCATAGAGGTGGTCAGACCAGGCAGTTTATCTTTTACAGAGGTGGAGAACAACTGATAGCCAGTGAAGGTCATTTTTAGTTCCTTAGGATGCATAAATTTTGGATACGGTGTGTGTGTGTGTGTGTGTTGTGCAAAACTGTCTGATTCAGTTTTGTATTCAACTTCAACACTTACATATTGTCTAATATTCGGTAGTATTTTTAAAGAAATATTTCCCGAAATCGATAAACTATTAAATATTCAAACCAAGTTCACTTTTAATAGTTTGAAAAAATTTGTGAGCATTAGGTAAATGGTATTCATTACATAATAAAGGTTTCTTGTGTTCCCCAATGAATGAAAAGAACAAAACAATATTGCCCAAACTGATTTTGTTTGGAATGCTGAACTACTTCACTAAAAATAAAGTATTTTAATGCTTTCATATTGTTTGAAGTATGCGTGACATTGAATTAGGGTATTCTATGGTAAACACAATATACTCGATAGAGTTCCCACGGATGACATTGATTGGTGGTTGCTCTAAAAGCCACGAATCGGTAAAAGTTAGAATTCATGTTCTGGCCATTTAGTCGGCTCCTAATGGCTGAATGGGTCTACGAGCTAGCCTTGTAACCACTAGGTCCTGGGTGGTGGGTGCGTGTACTGCCGATGAGTCCTAAACCTGGACGAAATATCTGTCCAGTACTCCTTGATGGGTTTTCAACGGTTCTCTAATTGTGATATCAATCCGTGGTCAAATTCAAAAAAAAAACTAAATCCAAATCCTTACAAATCAACTCTTGAAAATACTCGTTATTTTTTATAGCATGCATAATAAGGTGGTATATCAGAGGGTGATCTTCGATTTCGTGATTATACTAATTGTCAATAAGGTAATCAATTATATTGAAAACAAACACATTTTGATTGAGAATATCAAATGTTAAATGAATTCCTGTCAGTCAATTGGTAAACAATGATTTTTTTAGTAGGATAACACTTTTAAGACATTTCACTGATGATTTTCGAAGATACTTAGCAATGAAGAAACAAAAAAGAAAAGACAACAACAGCTGTATGTGTTTAGTAAAAGTGATAGATCGTATGCTAATCAATTGTAAAGTTCCTTTAAGGTGGTTGAATGTATTCTTTCCCTCTGACTTTCTGAAAGGTTCTGGCGTAGACGTAATACCCGGCTGTTTACCAAAGGACATGTGTGTGTGTACTGCTCAGCAGTGTGCTCCGTCCTCCTCTATTTTTTTGATGTGGTTGTGTTCTCTGAGCTGGATGGTTAATTTGCGAAGCTTTCATCACCCCACCACTAGGCTACATCTTCAGCACGCATACTTCAATTTGAAGTGAGCTTTTAGACTTTTCCACGAGTTTATTAATCATCTCCCCTGGTGACCTTGGACGTGATTGGTTGTTTTTGTGTGTTTTCACACCTACTAGTTTACTTGTATTGGAACTGGTTGTTTCTTTGACTTGAACTTTGACCCTTTGTGTGTGAAGTTTCTTTCTTATCGGTTGATAAATTTTGTCTATCTCGATGTGTCTATTGATTGATGATTCACTGGAATGCCAAGCTGCTAAAAATTCTCTAGCATTCTTATTGTTTCCTTTGTCTAATATTTGAACGTTGTCCCAGTCGAATTGATGTCCGTGGTTGTCAGTGTGTAGTGAGATGAGGGAGTGGATGTCATGTCTTTTGACGGCTAGCTCATGTTCGTGGATACGAAGACGAAGGGGACGTCCACTTTGGCCGATGTAGTGTTTTTCGCAGTTGTTACAGTTTATTTTGTAGATGATGTTGGTTTTATCTTCTTTCGCTGTTGATTCTTTTGGTTGACATAGAATTGAGTGAAGCGACTTTGCTGGTTTGTGTACGACGTCAATTCCTAAAGGTTTGAAGAGTCTTGTAGTGATTTCTGAGATATCCTTTATATATGGTAAGGCAATTTTCCCTGTGCTTTCCTTGGTGGCTTTTGCTTTGGTAGGTTGGCTTGGGGGTATATGTCTCTTGATGAAATTCCGTGGATATCCATTCTTTTGAAAGACGTCCATGAGATATTTTTCTTCAATTTTCCTTAAGGTGGGAGTGCTGCAATGAGTCCTTGCTCTCTTGAATAGTGTTTGTATGCAATTCCTTTTGTGTTATTGGGTTGTTGCTGTTGTAGTTCAAGATTTGGTCTGTGTGAGTTGATTTCCTATAAACTTGAGTTTCTAATTCCCCTGTGGTTGCTCGCCTGACTAAGATGTCCAAAAATGGTATTTTGTTCTCGGATTCCTCTTCTCTTGTGAATTTGATGTCGTAGAAGACGTTGTTTATTAAGTTGTGAGTTTTATCTAATTCGTTTCTTTTGATGATTACAAATGTGTCGTCGACGTAGCGTATCCAAATCTTGGGTTTGATTTTTGGTAGAATTATGTTTTCGAGTCTTTGCATCACTGCTTCTGCAATCAAACCTGATATTGGTGATCCCATGGGTGTTCCTTTGACTTGTTCATATATTTGGCCGTTGAATTGGAAGTATGTTGTTAGGCATAGGTTTATGCATTCCATCCAGCTTGTGTGTTGCATTTTTGATTGTTGTGGAAGGTGTTCGTCGTTGCTAAGTAATTGCTGCATGGTTTCTTTTGCTAGTTTTTGTCCGATAGAGGTATATAATGCTGTGACGTCGAAGGATACCATTATTTCTTGTTCATCTATTTGGATGCCTCTGATTTTCTTTAGGAATTGGATATTTTTTTATTATTTTTTATTTTTGATTGATTGTGAAGTTACATCGATTGAGATGGTTAGACATGGGTTACACATCAATGCCTAGCCATCGCCTTCCTCGACAACGGACAATGTTAGCTGACATAGGATCAGTTCGGAAAACGGCTGTTTGTAGTGGTTAAACCAAAACATGGCGTCATCAGTCAACGAAATGCACAACAGTTAGTTTAAGCCAGGTAGGAAGGTGTAGACTTCTTGCTTGGGGTCCTCGGGACGGCGCAGATGCATCCACTCCTTTGTGACTTATAAATACCCAATAGAACTATATTGTTCTTCCATATTACTATCTCTTTTGTCTCATATCCCTGTCTACTGTCTCTATTTTGCATTTTTTCCCCTTGCATTGTGTGCTACATGGAGTGGTGGTGAATTGGATATTCATGAATTTTTCTCTCATTCTAATCAAGTTTAACCGTCGAAGGAGGCTTTATTTTTTTAGTGGTTATTAGTTATATTGAATAGATGAATCTCAACATTTCTTTTTTTTTTAATTTTTTTTAAAGATGTTTTTCACTATTCTTTTTTGCATCAAATAAAAAATAGGCCCACCATCTGGCCGAATGGTAGTCCGACAAACTGTTCCAGAAGTGATTTTAATGTGAAAAGTATTGAGGTAACCAGCCAGTAGTAGGTAGTTGTGTTATCTCCTTTTGCTTTGTTGAAGAACTCTTTTTGAATTAATTTAATTGATTTTTTCGAGTATTCGGCAGTTTTTAATTCTATGCAATACAGTTTTATACAAGGTTTCCTTTTATAAGCGATGAATCTGCATTCATTAGTGTATTATTATAGCATTATTATTATTATTATTATTATTATCATTTCCTTAGGTTCCGAGTGGAATATAAGGCTTCAGCAGCTAGCTAGCTCGACGATTGTCTATAGGCTCCGCTCTCCTTGCATGATCTCCTTTCCATATCACCGTCAGATTTGTTCAACTTGTTGTTTACTGTTTGCTTTCCACTGGCTTGAGCGATAGCCTGTTGCACGCTGTCACTAAACTGTTTTTTTTTCAGCATGTGTCTGATTCATCCATCTCCATTTTTCTTCTTAATACTTGTTAGGAAGTAGGTGGGGTTCTTGGTTTGTTTCTTTGTTTGTTGTCATAATTCTTTCTGGATAATTCTTTCTAGCAGGCCATCTGATCTTCAGTGTGGAGCCAGGGAATAGCACAGGTGTTGATGAAAGTTGAAAGCCTGTTGGGAATACCTTCTGTGACACGCTGTCTCTAAACCATATAGAACAGTTGACTTGGCATTACTGTTGGAAATCTTGATCTTGTTCTCTATACTTAGTGCAGTATGTTTCCAGGTTGACTTCAAAGTGATGAAAGTCTGTGTTGCCTTTCCAGGCAATCCTGCCTTTAACATCTTCATCTACATTTCCAACCATCTAATATCATCAAATCAATGTGCACCGTGATGGCGTGCTAACCAATATGGTGGCCACAATACAAATCTGACCGATAGAATTCAGTCTACACCAAAGAAAGGACTAGGCACGTCATACTAGTTACTAGTGTCCAATCAAAATATCCACTAGAGTCCTACAGGAGGTCAATCGCGAGCTCGAATAGCTGAGTGGTAACGTCTCTAACTTCAGCACTGGGTGACGCGGGTTCGAATCTCAGAAGGGACATGAGTTCCTTCAAGGTTGCAGATACACCTTGCTGGAGAGTGCTAACTAGCGCGAAACCTAGGTCTAATGTTTCCTGCCGATTGCCTTCAACCTTCTAACATTTTCATCCGTGCCGCGTATATTTAAAACGATGTGAAATAGTTAAGTGAAAGAAGTGACTTGCTGAAATCACGAATTAGTAGAAGTTCGAATTCATGAGCTGACCACTGAGTCGAATCCCAGTAGTGGCTGAATCGAGTTTGTCCCGTAACCGGAAGGTCCGGAGTTCGAACCCCCTGGGGTGGTAGATGGGTGCTGCCAATGGGTTTCAAACTAGGCTGACGAAACTGGTGTCCAGTACTCCCTGGTGGTTTTCAGTAGTACACCAACTCATATCGATCCGTTATCGAACTTGATACAAATCAAATCCCTCCCTACAAGCTTAAGTCTTGAAAACACTGATTTTATTTCTGTTATCAATGACATCAAATCTTAGCATATTTAAATTGGTTTTCATATTTTCTTTTCTTTATTTAAAGCCTATTTATAAAGACTTACAAACACAATGGGCAAATTTAGAGGATTTTGATGATCCTGAAGACTTTTGGTACGTTTTAATTTTACAGAGAAACAATATGGTATTATAATTATAAAGCATTTAAAATAATCCTCACATTGTGCTTAAGTAAGAAAAATCCAAATCTGTTTTCTCTGTGGCTTACACACTACAACTTCTTCAGTAGCAGAATTATTCGGAATTTTTAATAATCATCAAAATATGTGGTCAAATTTTTTTTTACATAAATTGAAGTCAGCTCGTCTGAAGGTCACTGGTCGATAGACATTTCCATTAACAGGAAAGTGGGAGCAGTCATCATATTGTGGTGAGAGCAGGCTGTTAGCCAATTGGTGTAGGCATTAATTTATGCCAATGTCTAGGTCACTAATATTGGCCGTGAGAAAATATGAACAAGGCTGATTCAACAACCAATCACAGCAGACTTAACGTGGGCAAATTAGATTCGCAGATATATACGGCTTAACTATCCGAGAAACCAGAAACAACCAATCAGAAGACTGTGTTTGTTTGCTTGAATAAGCTATAATAATGTACATGAAATATATATATATATATACGTGCTGATTTCCGTAATAAAATGATCTGCTGCCGGCCCTTGTCTTCTGTTGTTACAATATAATTGTAATGATTGGTGTCAAATTGTCACTGTGCACATTTATCTGTGTGTGAGTGTGTGTGTGTGAAAAATCTTGTCTATCGATGATAGCCATTTCATGTCCAAGGGAGATGACAGCTGAACAACTTCAGAGACTACTTGCTTCAGATAACATTAAAGTCATATGAAGCCATCTGATTCTCTAGAGAAAGCTTTGGTGAATTTTTTTTATATATTTTTTAAAATTTTTGATTACAGCTTGATTCCACACTGTATTTTTGGTACGAGTATGGAATTTTCAGCATGGATATCGGTAGCCCAAATTTCGCAGGCCGACCATAGATATCTATCAGGTGTGCGCCGGCAGAGGATCGAACCCCGGACCATGTGCATGGTCGGCGAAAGTCCTAACCACTGTGCCACCGACGCACAAGATTCTATCAGAGATTCTATCTCAACGTTTAACTAGGGCGATGAAGAAACCTTTCTACTCTGCACGTGTGTTCCTATCCTTCGGTAGCCGTCCAATAGTTCACCCAGCCACTCAAAATTAAAACTATAAGCAAACTGTGTGGGATCATTAGGACTTTTTAAAGAGATTACAAGTTTGAGTAAGAGTAATTTCTCTATTGATTTCAGAAAAGGAGAGGTTATTGCAATAGGTCTAAATTCAGAATTCATACCGGAACCCTTTTAGACTCGTTGCTTTTCGAGATGAGGAAAAGAGAAACGATCAAGTCTTTGGAATATCGTCTGTTATAGGACAGGACATGTCGAGGCAGAATTTCAGAAAATCCGTAATATTAGTGCTCAGTAAATGGTTTCCAGTTAGTTATCATCCAGCATGTTTGTAAGTTTATGCATATTATCCTGTAATTAGCATCTCTGTTGGATTCTCTTGAAAAACGTGTGAGAAGACACTTGAGTATGACTTGCTATATATTCTGGCTAACACTCGAATAATACAGGAATCTGAGTTCGCTATGGGAGCATGTTTAAGTGTTACATGTATATCCCAACATCATTAGTGAACATTGAATCCAATGTTTTGTCAAGTCCACTGGCAAAGTTGACAAGATTTACATTATCCATGAATTCAGGGAAGGGACAATTGAAGGAAGGGAAGTTACCAGTGACTATTCACGCAGACTTCTCTTAATGAGAATAACAGCGAATAGAATGAATTCATCTGCAAAATCGGATAGATTAGAAACGGTACAGTTATGCAGATCATAAATGTTTAAGATGAAAATGTATTTATACTCTCATAAGTATTTTGGACAACATTTGACAGTAATACAATCGATAAAGTTACTCGAGAATGCAGAGCATAAATTGTTTGAAATCGACCACTAGGAATGAATAAACGTTGCAACTCCTCTTCTGTATTTTCTTTTTTTTGGGGGGGGGGGAACAAATTTGATCTTGTCTCTGGATATAGTGTGAAACCATTCAGTGAGATCAGATTGTCATTATGGAGCCATGTTTCTTGTAGTGTGAGATAGCTTGTATAGATGCATAATCTTGTTGGGAAAAGAACGGTAGGTGGACTAACAATAACCAGAACAGTTGTTCGATGTTAAGGTGTGCGTTTTATGGTGCCCCGTCATCCATCATGATGCTTTTTCTTAGCTTTCTTAGAACCTTGAAAGTCACTTGATGATTTTAAACATTTTATGAACTGTTGAGGGAGAATCTATGGTACGATTTGACGTCATATCTTGATAAATAAAAGTGATATGCGATAAATTAGTTGCAATATGTAGATGTAAGGGGTATGTAGCCCAACTTTCAAACAGGCCGCCAAAGTTGACCCTGACAAGATGAGAAATCGGGAAAAGTAGTTCAGCTATAGCACTACATACAGTCCCACACACACACACCATACGGTAGGATGGATGGGATAAGATGATAGTTTTAAAATCTGATGTATTAGAGTTGATAGAGAGATTGATAACGGAATGTTTGTTTATCGAATCCACTGTAAATACGTTGTAATAAGAATAATTCAACACCTGTCCACCCAGATATCTGGAAAATTCTACTAACCCAACCATGACAAATGGTAGACAACCAAGAAGACTATTAAACTCAAGTTTCAAAGTCGTGTGATTACAATTGATATGATTGTGAACAATTAATTTTTGTTCGAAACTGTGTCATCCAGTAAACACTAATACTGTTTAACTGTGTAGTATATATCTAACAAACAAACTAATATGCAACTGAATGGAGGATTTCATCATGAACTGAACCACTGGGAATACTGGACAGTTGATTCGTTATAATTTGGTACTCTTCAGCTGTGCTTATTACCACAATGCCTAAGTTATAAACCTGTATCTGAATATTGATTTTCATAGTTTTAAAGTTTTGATTATTGTATGTATATTTATAATTTTTAGAACTGCATAAGGAAAGAACAGAAGTTAGAGAAATTGAACAGCTCTTCTCATTTTTTATCACAGGAGGAATCAAAAAGATTTAAGTCAAAAGTAAAAATACATTTATGATGGAACATAATTTGGCTTCATCAGCTGTCTGCATCACAAAGTGACGCGTTGTCAGCCAAGTGATCCACTACGGAAAACTCAGCGAAGCCTGACTTTGAAGTGAAGACAGCAGTGAGACAACACTCCCTATTATCATGGTTGATATTCCCAGTTGCGGTGCACTGGATTAGACGAAAGACTGGAGAGCGGTGGGGGGACGAGAAGACAGAAATACGCTGGACCACCGATAAGAAGACTCTAGAAGATATGGATTTGTTGCCTGTATGATTTGTGTCAAACATCACACAGACTCGAAGAATTACAGGGGAAAATGAAGAAGCTGTCACGGGAAGTGGTGAAGACACGAATCACGTGAACACAGAGAAGACGGAGGCGATGAAAATAACCAGCCGACAACCGCGATGATGACTATGAAGGGGTGAAATTTGAAAGAGGTTACTTCCTTCACTTATCCAGGAAGCATCGTTTCATTCATAGGTTTGACGGAAGAAGATGTCAGAGGTATGCAGAATGGGAATGACAAAGTGCACCTTCATCACCGTGAAATCAGTTTGGAGAACTTCTGTACTCAGGGAACATATTGAATAAGATTCGGATTTTCGATAGAAATGTTAAGTCAATGAGGTCTTCCATAGGAGTGAAAGACTTGAGGTGTGCGTGAAGGAAAGGATTTCCAACAGGCTCCGACAGACTTGTGTGAACAGGTGTCGCCTTCTCTGACTTCATGTTGTAGGTCGAATGGGCAGGTCAGAAAGAATTGGTCACAAGAAACTATGGTGGAGAACCGATGAAGAACTTGTTGGTCAATAAAAATTTAGAAGAGAATGGAGATGGATTGATCAGACGCTGGGGAGACCATCGAATGACATCGGACCGCACGCCAGGTATAGCCTAGATTGGGACCTGAATGTGAAACTGTTAGTGGGTTGTGTGTTCAAGGTTTGACATGGAGATCGTGTGAGGTGGAGATGAGAGCCCATGGGCGATCATGAATCTAGCTAATGTGAACAGCAGAAAATAGGACAAAGTGGAGATGTAGAGATGTTGAAGCGCTATGTTCCACTCAGAAATCTAGTGGCACCTTCAAAGGGGATGAGATGATTTGATTGGGGAGGGACGGAGGCAGAATGTTGTAAAAAGTTCTTAATGGATTCACCTAAAAGGAATTGGTTCATTTTAGCATACCTTTTGTCATTCATCCGTATTAGTTGATAAACTATACACGATTAGCGGTACCGATGATTAGATAGATATGGTAGTCTCTAGTGTAATTTCTAACAATGTCTATCACTGAACACACTACTAATGATGAGTCTTGAAATTAAAAATTACAAATGCCTAGTGTTTATGCATATATTTCAGGTATGTTTTATCCATCTTTTATGTGTACAATTGAAGTCCGATGTAAGCTCTCTTATCTCGACGTCGTTTGTTTGTCTTTGAGAGTGGGTGAGGGGGTGGAGGGTTCTCTGTGTATTTGTGTAAAGAACATTCGTGTTTCTTTTCTCCAGGTCGCTTTTTTATTCACACTGACTTTTTGACATTTAAATTATATATTTCAAGTTTCAATAATACTTTATCTAGTATGTTTTCGGTGAAACAGATACTGTTATATTTGTCTAGTCATATAAATCTTGAAGGATTTGGTATATTAATTGTGAGATTACTATCATTGTTATTATTTATTAATTTATTGTATTCTGTAGGAAACATGAATGGAATAAACATGGAGTGTGTTCAGTGCATAGTGCGGTTATCTCGAATGAGTTAGACTATTTCAATACATCTCTGGCTATTAAAGCAAAAGTGAATTTATTAAGGTAAAGAAGTCTTTTTGTACTATATATATATATATATATGCATACTTTTTGATTGGACAGAGTGGTTAGGACTCTTGCTGACCGTGCGCATGGTCAGGAGTTCGATCCCCTGCCGACACAGACCCGATATCTATGGTTGACCTGCAAAATTTGGGCTGCTGATATCACATGCTGAAAATTCCATACCGGTACCAAAAAAGATACGGTGTGGAATCAAGCTGTAATCAAAAATTTGAAACAAAACTAGTGGCATGTGTCAAGTCCTTTGTTTCGGTGCAGACTGAATTCTATCAGTTACCTTTGCAATGTCGCCACCATTCTAGGTGGTAGCTCGCAATCACGGTGTACATCACATTAGTTATTGGTGTCTAATCAAAGTGTCCCATACAGTCTTACAGTGTAACAACAGAAGACAAGGGCCAGGCAACAGATCCTTTATTTACGAAATCAGCAGATATTTATAGATTTTTATGTACATTATTAAAGATTATTTTAAGCAAACAAACGCCGTCTTCTGACCGGTGGTTTCTCTCTGAACGTTAATCTTTCATCTCTTTGTAGCCGTTTATTGAACTTCAGATTGTCTATCTGCAAATTGTATCCGCTTACGCAAAGTCCGCTGTGATTAGTTGTTGAATCAGTCTTTGTTCATATTTTTCGCACGACCAAACATTGACGCAAATTACTGTCTACCGATTTGGCTAGCAGCCAGCTCTCACCACAACAGGAGGTCAATCGGGAGCCCCATTAGCTCAGTATGTCATGTATTGATCAAATCGCCACACTACGGATCATCATTGAACAAAACTTGGAATGGCAGTCACCTCTCTATGCCAACTTCATCGACTTTGAAAAGGCCTTCGACAGCGAGGATCGAGAGGTCATTTGGCAATTATTTCGCTACTACAGGGTGCCATCGACAATTACACATCTTATCCAACAGTTATACGACAATGCTGCATGCCAAGTAATCCACAACGGGAAGCTTACGGAAGCCTTCGAAGTGAGGACGGGAGTGAGGCAAGGCTGTCTATTATCGCCGATGATCTTCGTGATTGCAGTAGGTTGAATAATGAGACAGAAAACGGGCAATGAGGAAACAGGCATAAAATGGACTCACACAAAATGCTTGGGGGATCTGGACTTCGACCTATGGGTACCCAGCTGTAGAAATTTGTCAGTTGACCATTCCATAACAGCTTTCGATAAATCGATCTCTCCAGAGTTCCATAGGTCCTCCTTGATAAGTTCACATCGAGGAAATGAATACTAGACTCGTTCTTCATTTCGAGTGAAAATTTTATGGCAGGATGGCACTTAATAAATACATTTAACATATTATTCAGGTTACAATCAATATTACAAATAATAAAGGTGTCATCTACATACCTTTTATACATTTGAAAGCTTTGGATTATAGGCCTCAGGGGACCATTTTCTAGACTGTACATAAAAAAGTTTGGAAGGAGAGGACCCAAGGAAGATCCCATTGCAATACCATTCTTCTGTCTGTAGATTGTTTTACTGAAAGTAAACTGTACATTCAATGTACATCTCAAAAGTAGTTCTTTAAGATCTGTAGTGGGTATCCCTATATTCACTTTATTATCTTCAATATTTGCATGTAAAACATATGGTTTCTGTGAGTGGAACGTTTGTAAATAAGGATTCTATATCCAAAGACAACATTTGTTTATTCGATGCATTTATATCCTGTATACATTCAACAAATTGGAAGGTGTCCGGAAGGAAATGACTAGATAGTTGCCCCCTGACAGGTTCGAGGATTTCAGCTAACCAACCATTTACCGGATGATAGGGCGATCTAGACATATCCATGATAGGGCGAAGTGGAACTCCAGCTTTGTGTATTTCCGCTAGACCATACAGTCTTGGTATTAGAGATTCTGTTGGTCTGATCTTTTCGTATAACTCTTCATGAATGAGATGGTTGTTCTTCATTCTCTTTAAAATATCGGTAAGTTGTTTCTCAATTTAATTGTTTTTCTCGTTCGGTTTCGGAAATTTACCGCTGTCTGAAAGTAAGCGTGGCATTTTATCGATATAATCCTTACGATCCATAATAACAACACCTGCACCCTTGTCAGGGCATGTTAATAGTATATCGTTGTTATGCGTCAAAAGTTTAAGTTCTTCTTTGTGCTGTATATTCAGAAGACTGCATTTTTGGTCTAGCATTAAGGTATTGATTGCAGGAGTCCGTAATGGTAGATTTGAAGCATTGGAAATCCTGGTCTGACGATGGTGTGAGATCATAGGTTTGACTGAGTAAATTCTCAAACTGGACATGAGTATGTAGCTTGTTGATATTGAGATTAACATCGCAAAACTTCGAGCCCATAGACAAGGCTTCCATTTGTAATTTCGATAAAGATATAGAGGAGTGATTGAACACGTATCTCTCAGAATTCTCAGGAAATTTTCGAAAACATTCGATGGGTTTTAGGCTATTAGATAGCTTAGAATTAAAAGACAGTGTTTGTTTGTTGGTGACCACGTTAACATATTCATTGAACGTCTGACGTTCATCAGCCGATAAGTCATATAGAGCAGAAGATCTTTGTGTTATATTCCTTTCTAACTCAGGGATACGTGAACTGATAGAGTCAATGTGATTTAATGCGTGATTCTACTCATAGTTAAGTGTCAGACAGAGGGATAGTATTGTGCTGGGTCTCCCTTGGATCCTCTCCTTGCAGACTTTTTTATGTACAGTCTAGAAAATGGTCCCCTGAGGCCTATAATCCAAAGCTTTCAAATGTATAAAAGGTATGTAGATGACACCTTTATTATTTGTAATATTGATTGTAACCTGAATAATATGTTAAATGTATTTATTAAGTGCCATCCTGCCATAAAATTTTCACTCGAAATGAAGAACGAGTCTAGTATTCATTTCCTCGATGTGAACTTATCAAGGAGGACCTATGGAACTCTGGAGAGATCGATTTATCGAAAGCTGTTATGGAATGGTCAACTGACATACTAGAAGATACGCTAGTGAAAAGCTACAAGTTGGCAGAAGAAGCATCCTGAGAAGATAGGACTTAAGGTGAACATAGAGAAAAAAGAGGTGATGAAGATTCCTGGCCAACAGCAAAAACAAGAGACAACAATAAGCATAAATGAGAGGAACCTGAAAGAAACGATCTCCTTTACCTACCTGGGAAGTATCGTTTCAAATACAGGCGGAACTGACGAGGATATCAAAGCCAGAATCGGAAAAGCAAGACAGGCTTTCATTACTCTTAAGTCTGTGTGGAAGTCAACGGCACTCAGCATCAAAAATAAGGTCCGGATTTTCAACTCTAATGTAAAATCAGTGCTTCTATACGGATCAGAGACTTGGCGAGTCATAAAGCGCATCTCAAACAAACTTCAGACCTTCATTAACAGTTGTCTTCGCTCAATACTCAAGATCAGATGGCCAGAAAAGATCACCAACAGGGATCTCTGGCAATGAGACAACCAGGAACCGATTGCGAAACGAATAGGCAGGAAGAAATGGAGATGGATTGGCTGGCCATACGCTGAGGAAACCATCAAGTGACATAACTAGACAAGCCGTCACTCGATTGGAATCCGGAAGGGAAGCGGCGAGTTGGTCGTCAGTGCTAGGGTGACTTGGAGGAGGTCATGTGAAGAGGAGATGAAAGCGTTTGGGCAGACTTGGAGCGGGGTGAAAAAGTTGGCAGAAAACCAAAGGCAGTGGAGATGCGCGACTGAAGCCCTATGTTCCTGTACGAATTAAAGGATATAATAGTAACATACTTAGCTGCTTAAAATTATTATCATTGGCTTACATTTTTATTCTTTATTCTATTCCTTCTTTGTACATCTACTGGGTCCGACTATATTATCACTATGATTATTAAAAATTGTCCCGTCATTAACCATCATCTAACATTAGTTTTGTGGTTGTTCTTCGTTCGGCACTATTTAACTGACAATCTTGTTTGTTATTGCCACTATCACCATCTTAAAAATCTTGTATTATGCATGATTCCTCACACTACCACTACAAACAACCGCATTAGTACTGACGTTTAAAAAAAAAAACAACTTGAAATGTTTATCTTATGATTGCTTAGTGTTGTTCAATCAAATTAACTGATCATCTTGGCTATAAACATTTTTAAGAACATCTCATAATTTCCCGTATGATTATAGCTGTTACTATTCACCACGCATACACATATCGTAGCTTCCACTAAACCAATACTGAAATATTTTTCTCATTATTTGTGTTGATCTTCTTTTTTACTTGGTATTTTTATTTGCATTTTTTTGGTTATTTCTGTGTTTCTTTTTTTGGTTTTTTTTTATAAATTTTAATTTTTTATAATACTCCTTTTAAATGCATGATGAAATTAGATGCAATATTGTAGATATGTGCTGAAAATTCCACACTGTACCACAAGTACTATTTCTGGAATAAAGCGAAATTGTTATGTTATGTTATGTAATAATAAATAGGTCAGTAGTAATGTCTCTGACTGCAAGCGGCAATGGATGACAACGTGGGTATAAATCTCAGAATTCAAGACATGAGTTGTTCCCTCAAAGTTGGAAGTACGCGCTGCTGACTGGTGAGTACCAACTGGTGTGAAACCTAAGTCTAGATAGGGCTTCCTGTGACCGATTGCCTCCAGCCATCTAATGTGCATATGTCTTAGTTGTTCTTATTCCTTGTCACCGTCTTGATAGATTTTTGTCATAAATTGAAATTTGAAACAATTAATCCCTTTTGGTCATAAATAAAATATCTTATTACTCTAAAATTTTATGCAAAGTGTTTGCGGAAATTATCACAATTATTAACCTTTCGAACACTGAATCCAAAAAATACAATCTTATTGACAGATAATACACATAACTCACTGTTTGGATTTGTGGAATTTTTAAACATAAACACATCTATAATTGTATATATTGTTGGATTTATATGTTCAAGTTGCTCCAAGTCAGTGAGTTTATGG